CTCTATTCTTGCAATCTTAAAATTCCTTTTCCCTTTTTTTGAGATGGAGTCTTAAGTCTTGCTCTCTGTCGCCCAGGCTGGAGTGCAGTAGCATGATCACAGCTCACTGCAGCCTCAGCCTTCTGGGCTCCAGCGATCCTCACATCTCAGCCTCCTTAGTAGCTGGGACTACAGGCGTGCACCACCACGTCTGGCTAATTTTTCGATGTTTTTTATAGAGACAGGGTCTCACTACCATGTCCAGACTGGTCTCAAACTCCTGGGCTCAAATGATACACCCACCTCAGCCTACCAAAGTCCTCAGATTACAGGCATGTGCCACTGCACCAGACCCTTTGTTAAATTCTTAATTTTTAAAAAATGGCTTTTTGTTTCAACATTTTCGGGAAAAAAAAAAAAAATATATATATATATATATATATATATATATATATATAAATATATAAAACTGGTCTTGCTTTTGGCTCCCTGCTTCCTAAGACATGAGATAGATCTCCTGATCCTGGATAGAAACTACCCTTGGTGTGTTACCAAAGGCTCAGTGACTTCACTGGTTAGATCTCTGTTGTCCCCACATTTGCTTCACTTGTTCAGATGAACATGCTCTCCTTCTGGTATAACTCTCTTTCCTCATTTTTCCATCTCCTGACAAAGTCTCTCTGGGAAGATAATCAACCACCATGGCCCCCAAGCCCTGCTACACCCACCCTGCTGTCTTTTACAGAAATGTACATAGGTCATAGATTCTCAATACTTATCACTGGTAGACTGATTTATTAGGCTTCTCTACATGGTCATTTGTAAATCCTATGCTGTTTGAAGTGGTCATTCTATTCACTCCTTCACACTTACTCCTCAGTTATATTCATTTGTACATAATTTAGTTATCTACCCTAATTTATGTGACATATGCTCAGTTATCGTCTCCAGTGTTCATTCATCCACTAAGTTAGAGTTTCTGGACTATGTCCCCCCCTTTTTTTTTTGAAAGTCCCACTGTCACCCAGGCTGCAGTGCAGTGGTGCAATCTTGGCTCACTGCAACCTCTGCCTCCCAGGTTCAAGTGATTCTCAGTCTCAGCCTCCTGAATAACTGAGATTATAGATGCATGCCACCACACATGACTAATTTTTGTATTTTTAGTAGAGACGGGGTTTCACCATGTTGGCCAGGCTGGTCTCAAACTCCTGACCTCAAGTGATCCACCTGCCTCAGCCTCCCAAAGTGCTAAGATTACAGGTGTGAGCCACTGCACCGGGCTGTTAACTCTTTTACATCACGCATACAATGTTGCAGTCTGGATGCCAAATAAACACAGCTGGATTTTAAAATTTGTTTAATGCATGTACTTTATTAACACTGAGATAATGTGATTTTATTCTGCTCACAGTTACTCTAATACATACATTTAAAACAATGGTCAAAGCAGCAATTACATTAACTCGCCATAGGAGTCATTAGACACTCAGGTAGTACTTTGGTAAATTATAAAACAAATGTACACAAGAGCACTTCAGTAGAAGTTAAATCAGTTTGGGGACACATCAGCCTGCTAAACTCCATACTAGAATCCAACAGCAGATGAGTCATTCTTGGAGGTGGAAGAACTCCATGATTTCACAGCCTTGAACACTAAGTATGACCACGAGTGGACCATTTCAACCATCTAACGATCAATGGGAGAGTCAATTGGTCTCATCCCAAATGCCAAAAGCGACAGGCAGGCCATCACAACCTTGGCTTGTTCACCTTGTAAAGACATGACTTTATTTCTGCTTAAGTCATCTATATAAGTGAATCTAATAAATACAATAAAATGTAACCCAACCAAAATCGCATGTCACTTTTACTGACATGGGTATATGAGAACCATGGAGGTGCTAAAGAAAAATAGAAGCATTTTCTTATTATCATATTACCATGAAATTAAATTTATGTTAATTCTTAGGAAAGAAACTAAGTGTCTTGTTTGATATTGATGAGTAGGCCTACTTATTCTCTACGAAAATCCTAAAAAAAAAAAAAAATAATCAAATTTCACTTAAAAAATAGTTTCTGTCTTTAAATTATGTGTTAATAATTCCTTGAAGTAATTATTTTTTAAGTGTGGAAACATGGGGAAAGTTCACATTATAGAGTACAAAGGATCAAAACGGATCCCTCCAAAGTGGACAGCCCCCCAGAAAAATGAGTAAGACTTCGAAGCACTTAAATACAAACATCTGTAACAAATGAACAGCTGATAGAGAACAGGACAGTGTTTACTTCTGAATCTATAAGGTACTTAAGAACTTATACTTGTGGAAAATCACAATGACTCTAGAATATTTCACCAAATAGATGGTGGCAAATAGTTTGGCAACGTGTATTAGAAAGGTGATTTCTATACTACACATAAATGAAAGACAAACCCAAACACAAGTGATGTGTTTTACTACATTAATGTAAATTACACTACACCTATACCCACGTGGCAAATTCAGTTAGAACTAAAAAACTAGAGCAGTCCCTTTTTAAACTACTATTTGCATATTTTCCAGTATCTAAATACATGTATACTTATCTTTTATAGATTATAATAATCTACATTTAAAGTTTCATTTTAATATTGTGGCATGAAAAATACAAACACCAGTATAGTATGTTTTATGCTTAGTCAAAGTTAACTGGCTTAAGGTTTTAAAAGCTTCCCCGGATAAAGCAGTCAAGTCTACCCTATATCCCTTTGTCAAACCTGTTAATTTCAGTGAGCTATGATCGTGCCACTGCACTCCAGCCTGAACAACAGAGTGAGTCTCTGTCACTATTAGAAAAAAAAAAACAAAAACAGACAAACTTAGGTATCTACCTCAATCCATCAATCACCCTCACGCCTTTGAACCTGACAACATCACTCCTAACCTTAAAGTAAAAGACAGGAATAGTAATGTAAAGCATTCAAAACAAAAATGAAACCTGCATCTTTATTTATTTGAGATGGAATTTTTGCCCTGTTGTCCAGGCTGGAGTGCAATGATGTGATCTCAGCTCACTGTAACCTCCGCCTCCCAGGTTCAAGCAATTCTCCTGCCTCAGCCTCCCAAGTTGCTGGGATTACAGGCGCTTACCACCATGCCCAGCTAAGTTTTTGCATTTTCGGTCGAGAGAGGATTCACCATGTTGGCCATGGTTCGAGACCTCATGTGATCCACCTGCCTTGGCCTCCCAAAGTGCTAGGATTACAGGCTTGAGCCACTGAGCCCGGCCAAATCTTACATCTTTATTATGTCATTTCTGTGTGTTAGTTTTCCTTTGCCTGTTAGTTTGGAAATTCTCCTTGTTCCTAAAGGTAGCTTTCATATTTCTGTTCCAAGAACTGACTAGAAAAAGCAAGGTGGTTTCCTGCTTTAGTTGCCTCCCTTTGGTTCCTCGCCTCTCAGCCAACAAACAGGACACGACGGTCTTTCCTGTAATATTTTTCCTTCTTTCACCTAACTTCTCTTGGGAAAAAAACTGATACTTATTTAGCACTTCTTTTCAAAGGATAATTCCTGATTTATAGAGGCAGAAAGCTCAAGATTTATTTTCTTCTATTCCCAAAAAGGTAAGAAGATGTGAGTATTTATATTGGGCTCTCTCCCTCCTCATACACTTTTACCTAAAGCTTAAAGAAAAAAGACAGTCCAACAGTTGAAGGTATATGCTACATCAACTTTTTCTTTTGTTTATCCCACAAAATTCCATGTCATTCTTAAGATTCAGTATTTTTCTCACATCCTATTACCTTATATGCAAATGCCATACAGCAATTTTAATCTATTTCCTCATCTTCCAATCATCACTGGTTATCCACTATAAGGAAATTGCCCCTAGTTTGTCAAGAGTCCTTATTATATCAATAATTTAAAACTGGTGAAAGAACTATATGAGATTGTTCCCTTTAACTTTATATTACTCCAGAATATACATATGTACATATACCCACACATATAACAAATTTACATAGTTTGCAGAAATAAACTACAGATCTAATTGCAAAAACACATTTAGAAATTCACATTTTAACAGTACACTTACATGCAGATAAAAAGAAGTATAGTTTTATACTCGTAAGTTACATAGCAAGCTGAAATGGACAATATTTTAATGTTCATTTTAGATTTATTCTTTCTTCTAAGTCTCAGAAAATGAGCAAAAAGGAGACATAAAACTCAAGCTATGTCTATAGCAGTATCAGTCAATGTGATATTATTTTTACTAACAAGTTACTCAATTGCTTACTCTATAAGTGATACACACATACTATAATATTATATACAAAACACAAAATAGAGTTAGCAATAACAAATGAAAGCTTTATACAAAATACTTGATTCCATCAGTATTTAACTTTTGACCAGAAGACTCTTAGCCTGTACATTCTTTTCTGATATTAAGGAATAATCACATTTTTATAGTATTCTTAACTGCAGAAAAATAGGAATGAACAGAGAGGAGGGCTGATGAGGCAGTTGAAATACACATTTATAAATATGTATAACATATTTATATTCATATGTATATCATCTGAATTAGTATCTTTTTTTTTTTTTTTTTTTTTTTTGAGATGGAGTTTCACTCATGTTGCCCAGGCTAGAGTGCAATGGCACGATCTCGGCTCACTGCAACCTCTGTCTCTTGAGTTTAAGTAATTATTTTGCCTCAGCCTCCCTGGTAGCTGGGATTACAGGTGTCTGCCACCACTCCCAGCTAATTTTATTTTTTTTCTGTATTTTTAGTAGAGACAGGGTTTCACCATGATGGTCAGACAGGTCTTGAACTCCTGACCTCAGGTGATCTACCCACCTCGGCCTCCCAAAGTGCTGGGATTACAGGTATGAGCTACTATGCCTGGCCGAATTACTTTCTTTTGCAGGGTTATTTTCACCAGTAAGTGGTCCAGAATACAAAATATGGTAACAAAAGACTGTTTTCATACTTATTCGTTGGGACAGTTATTTAAAATAAAAACTTGCATTATAGAATTAGGGAAGCCTGGAAATTTTTTTTTTAACTTGGAGATCACATATTGAACAGCTGTCAAAATTCAAACTGACTAGTTCTGAAGAACTTCAAAACATGTTCAAATGAATGAAGAACAAAAATGATCAAAAAAACCCATAGCTGCCTAAGAGTCTTAAAAATTATTAATGCAACACTCTCATCTCTCATCAAGTGTATCCAAACCACTTCTTATTTGCGCTTTCAATTTAAAGACTCACAGTAGCATCACTACACACATATTTACACGGAGCACCCACAGCTGAACACAAATATGATGAGTATTTATGAAGAAAACTAAGTGGTTAAGTTTACACTGACTTGGGCACTGATCTAGTGAGTCACAGGGTCACCCAGATACAGGAGACTTTTCTGATCTCATCAGTTTCTTGACATGCTCAGTGAAAAACTTCGGCACAGAAACTCAAAGTCCCAGCTGGTAATCAGGCCCATCGTCCACTGGAGGCAAAGCTTCTGCTGAATGAGAAGTTGATTTCAGAGTTCTTATATTTTCCCCAGGCACCAAAAGGCACTACTACTGCAGTACTATTATCTTCAGTACCGTACTGTATTGCCTGCAAGGTTTGGCAAGAAGAAAAAGAAAAACATTGGAAATCACAGGCTATACAAAGAGAAATCAGCCTTTCCTTCCCTTGGAAATCCCCTTCCCCTGGTAAGCCAAACTGGTCTTACATGCAGTTACTAACATACTTATTTCACAATGGTTTGTGATTTTCACCCTGTATTAATGCCCACAAGTTTTATTAAATTGCACATGGAATAACAGATGACCCAAAACAACCACATTAACTATTTCTGCTATAGCAATTTTGGCAACAGAAACACCAGTGGACTAAGGTGCATTGGTATGCAGCTCCTGAAAATGAAGATACGTGTAAACCATTTAGTGCAGGGCTTAACACACAGTAAGGACTTGATAACTGTTAGCTCTTACCAGGAATTCATTTCCCTTTAGGGAAAGTTACCCTAACAGAATAAAAACCTTGGAAATTGAAAGACAAAAAAACTAGCCATAATCATAAAAGAAATACAAATGGCTAATAAGTCTATGCAAATATCTAACTCCACGAAAAAAGAAAAGAGATACAAATGTCTACACTAAAATTTGATTTTTCCACCTATCAAATTGGTAAAAAGAAAAAAATACGCTAAGAATTTGGAGAAACACAAACTGTAGAACACGCTAGTGTAAACTGGCATAGTATTTCTGGCAGAGAATTTGGCAAACTTATTAAAAGCTCTAGAACACTGTGTATTCTTTTATCTAGAAATTTGTATTTATTTATTGAGACAAGGTCTTGCTCTGTCATCCAGCCTGGAGTGCAGTGGCACAATCGTGGCTCACTGCAGCCTCGACTGCCCAGGCTCAGGTGATCTTCCCACCCCAGCCTTCCAAGTAGCTGACACCATGGGCATATATCACCATGCCCAGCTAAGTAAAAAATATATATATATTTTTTGTAGAGACTGGGTCTCACCATATTGCCCAGGCTGGTCTCAAACTTCTGGGCTCAAGCAATCTTCCCATCTCAGCTTCCCAAAGTGCAGGTGTAAGCCACCACACCTGGCCTAGACATTTTCTTTTTTTTTTTTTAATGGAACTTTCTTTTATTTGAGACAGGCTCTCAAAAATAAATGATGTACATTTGATCATATAATCTTATCACATACATAATATAATTATATACACACAGAATACTCTTCTACACACAGAGAATACTCATATCACTTTGGGGTTATTTTTGTTTGTGTGCTTTCTTGGGGTCTTTTTGAGACAAGGTCTGGCCCTGTCACCTAGGCTGGAGTGTGGTGGTTCAATCTCAACTCACTGCAACCTCCACCTCCCACCTCAGCCTCCTGAATAGCTGTCTGCAGGCATGCACCAACACACCTGGCTAACCTTTTTATTTTTGTACAGATGAGGTTTTGCCAGATTGCGCAGGCTGGTCCCAAACTCCTGAGCTCAAGTGATCCTCTAGCCTCGTCCTCCTAAAGTGCTGGGATTAGAGTGCAAGTCACCGCACTTCACCCATACTTGTGTATTTCTGTTCTTTTTTTTTTTGTTTTCCTGAGGGAGTCTCACTCTGTAGAAATTTTATTTCTAAGAGCTCAAGCAATCCTCACACCTCATCCTCCCTTGTAGCTGGGACTTACATGTGCATGCCGCCACACCTGAATACTATTTCTAAGAATTAAACCTATTTCCTGAAGGAAACAGATATGCACAAATAGATGTCAGAATATTTATTACAGTGCTTCCTCTATAGTACAGAAAACATGAACATAAACTAAATTTTTTGACCAGGGGACCTGTTAAATGAATTATGTATAAGAATAAGATGGAACACTATGCATTCATTACAAATTTCATTGCCTTTGTGAATTAGAATGCAAATACTGCAAGACAGGCAGTTGAAATTGGGAAAGAAGTGCTCATCCATGGAATTGGGCCTATTTCCTCAATTTCATGAGCACCCTGGTTAGCACGGGTGAAGGCCGTAACCAAATGAATAATTCATGTCTTATGATGATGTTGCCCATCTATTTCCAAGTAAATAACACTTTTGAAGTAAGGTCTGTTATCTTATTTTGGGAAATGCAAAAATAGCTGTTGAATTAAAACGTACTTTAAATAATACAAAGCACAGTTTAAGTTTTCTTTACTGGATATTACCAGCCATCTTCTAATTTTAGTTCTGACTGACACACAATCTCATCCCTATGCCTTTTTGTATTTTGGTTTATCTTTTCCACTCACCCATTCTGAATAACCAGAAGATGACTACGCTATATCCTCAAGTTGGATATTTGCTTAGAGCACTCTAGTTTAATGGTCAAGTGGTTGGATTTGGGAACCTAGTTGTCTGGGTTTGAAGTCCAGTTCTGCAATTTAATAGTTTTGTGACCTTCAGTGAGTTACTTAACTGTGTAGCCTCTGTACCTGTTTTCCTCATCTGTGAAAAGCGACAGAAATAGCTCCAACTTAATAGGTTATTGTGATTACCATATATGTAATTGTATATACTGTGCAATACATATAGTAATGAGTTAATATATATGAATACTGTCTGACACAGTAAGTGTAAGTGACATATTAGTTTACTACTATTATAATTTACTATTGCCGTTACTCTCATTTCAAAGTATATGCAAGGCCAAAGAATAAACAAAGCTCGTTTCCTTGGCATATTAAAATTTTAACTTGGGGAAATAATAAAAATTTTGTACTTGGAAATATTATGGAATCAAGTGTAAAATTCACTGCAACACTCAAAAGCTAAAACACAATTCCTGGGCTGTCCTTTCCTTCTCCTTAGACTCTTCCGGAAGAAGCTCTGGGTCACCTGTTCAGTCACTGCATGGGCTGCTTCATTGGGATCGTGGCACTGATTGACAAAGTCACAAATCTCTTGACTATTCACCATGAAGTTAATTCCATCTGTGGTGAGGACCAGGAAGCTGTCATCAGCATGATGTAGCTGCAATCAGAACCAAATGCATCTGATTATTAGCTAGACTCTGACTTAGAATAATCTTGCTAATTCAAAGATTTTTATCTGTTTTGCTGAGTGGTCATCTGTGTAAGAGCTTGTAAGCTGATATGGTTTGGCTGCGTCCCCACCCAAATCTCATCTTAAATTGTAGCTCCCATAATTCCCATGTGTTGTGGGAGGGACCCAGTGGGAGGTAACTCAATCATGGTGGTGGGGTCTTTCCCATGCCATTCTCATAACAGTGAAGAAGTCTCATGAGATCTGATGGTTTTGTAAAGGGGAGTTCCCTTGCACATGCTCTCTTTGCCTGCCACCATGTAAGACATGACTTTGTTTCTCTTTCACCTTCCACCATGATTGTGAGGCCTCCCCAGCCATGTGGAACTGTGAGCCCATTAAACCTTTTTGCTTTTAAATTACCCAGTCTCAAGTATATCTTTATCAGCAGTGTGAGAACAGACTAATACACAGGCAAACAGTGAAAATGTAAAGCCTATATGTTGGGCAAAAGTAGTAACATTTAGAATTAACCACCAAGGATAAAGCTAATATTTAATTAGTAAAATATAAATAGCACTTAATATCAGAAAGTAAAGAGTAAAGAAGTTGCAATCCTCTGAAATCCAATCACCAGAGGTAATCAGTCCTAACCATTTAGCAAACACCCTTCAAGATATCTTGCTTTACTTGCATAATTTAACATTGTAAAGGGAGAATCCAGATAGTCCAATGCTGAGAGGTAGCTCAATGTAATGGTTGTGAGTGCTGTCTTCTAAGGCCAGGCTTCTAGGATTCGAATCCTGCCTCTATTTTTGGGCTGGGTGAGCAGAGGTGCATTGACCTCTTTATGCTTTAGATTTTCCTTGAAAAATTGAAATAGTAGTACTTATTTTGAACAAAGCCTAGCACATAGTAAACTCTGCCTAATTCTCTGTTACATAAAATGAAGTAGGATATCTATAAGACACAAAGTGGGATATCAATAGACTTGAAATCCTTCATGCAATTAATTAACAAGCGTTTGCTTCCAGTTTTGGAAGCCTACACTATACTGTACTAGGGACTATAGTGGCTCAGGAGTTTTAGAGAAGTGTCAGTTCATGGACTGGGTATGTGCTGGGGGCAGTTTAGGGAAATGAGGGCAATGATCAGTAGCATGCAAAGGATGCCACAGAAGTAGAAGTGGGCGATTATTTGGTTTGGTGGAAAAGGGAAGTCGGGGCAGCTTCCATGTGGAGGTGATGTTGATTGATTGGGTGCAGTGATGCTGGCTGATTGGGTGCGGGTGACACTGGCTGACTGAGTGCGGGTGACACTGGCTGATTGGGTGCCTGTGATGCTGGCTGCTTGGGTGCAGTGATGCTGGCTGATTGGGTGCGGGTGACGCTGGCTGACTGAGTGCGGGTGACACTGGCTGATTGGGTGCCTGTGATGCTGGCTGCTTGGGTGCAGTGATGCTGGCTGATTGGGTGCAGGTGAGTAAGAACAGTAGGACCATTCCACCAGCAGAATTCCAAAGCTGGAATGAAACAAAAACCTAACACTTCTTCCTACTGAGGGAAACCAAAATATTTCTCTCCCAAATATTGAGGATTGCCAAAGTAACTGAAAAGGCAGGAGAACACTTACTCAGCCTCTACTTGCCTGGTGGCTGGAGACAGCACTTGTTTATCTGCCCAGAGAAGAAACCAGCAGGCACTAGAGAAATCTGGGAACAGGTTTTACTATCTCCACACATTTTTCTGCCTTTTAAAAGACTGAAAGTGTTCTCTTCTTTATTTTGTCACTATGTAGGATTTGTGGCTCTTTGTTTAAATACTATTTAAGCAAAGCCCCTAAGCCACTGCCTTGAGAGAGAAATACTTTGAACTGAGGCCTTTTCTACACAATGGGTACAGCACGCTGAACCATCTGCTTATTTGTAGTTGTTGTAGTTAATCTGACTTTTGTTTTCAAGAAAGTGTCTCAGCTAGGAACCTAAAAAGGGGGAAATAAATAATTTATGTTTTCTCCTCTACAATATATTAGGCCAGAATAGTAGCATCTTGTTTTACCTGAAAAGTTTTTTTATCCTTCCATATATTACTCCCTTTTTAAAATCATTTTGGCTTCACTTAAGGCTTCCAAGAAAGCCTGCAGCGGAGACATTCCTACATTCACTCTCTGCAGGTGCATCAAGTGCTTGCAGGCCCTTTCTTACCTTAATTCTCTTAGTTTCAGGTTCTGCTATGACACCACTGGTTTTAAGATCCAAATCTCCAATACTTCTTGTCATTGCAAGCCTGCCATTTACATGAGGCTGCCCCAAACTATTCCAAGCCACAAAACCACCACATTTCTTGATCCTGTTAAAAGTTAAATGACAATGATGTGATATGCAGAAAACCATGTTAAACTTAAGCATGACATCAGTTTAAAAACTGTTATGAACTAAAAGCATCACCCACATAGAATGATGGATCAGTGGTGGTAGTACCTTTCTTTTTCATCTTTTCTTTCTGGAGTATGGTCAATGGTCAGCTTCATGGGTTTTCCTTTTCTGCACAAAATAGCCCGGCTGTCCCCAACACTGGCTACAACCAGTTCAATACCATCTCGCAATAGGGCTACTGTTGCAGTAGTCCCAGAGGTCAGAAGAGTTGCTAAAAATATTATGAAAAAAGGGTTCAAGTTAGTGACAGTCAAATGATTGGATATGGAATTTTTATTACAAAATAAAACAGAAGCACAACTAATGCTGGAATATATCATTCTAATTTAACTAGAGCTAAGCAAATAAAATGCAAATGAACTATGTAAGTAACAGCATGCAGAGAAACAAGTATTTAATTCAGTAACAAGGCTCCATGCAAACAGGAAAGGTTGCTAACCTAATCTGGCAAACACTGTATCACTATCTACAAATGGCCTCTATTCATACCAAGTAGCACGGACTTGAACTTATAAGAACACCTTGGTGGATATCTGGTGTCTGGACTGAAAGTATTAAAATTTAATTAGGTTGGCTCTGTTGGTGGGATAACTTAGGTTTACTTGAGCCCACGCAGGCAAGCTGACTTTTCTACAGTCTATGGATTTAGAAGGTTTTCCCTTCCATTTGTTACTCCTATCCTGTGAACATATTATCAGTTAGTCAGCTAAGTGAGATATGTCAAGGGCATACCATTTGCATATTCTACCTCTGTATACTTCTGAAACTGTTTTAATTTTATAAATGTTCACCCAAAACTCCTAAAATGGTTACAGGCTCACATTCTTTTCTGTTTATCTTTGTCCTTCCCTAGACATGAAACAAAGTTACAATCATCATTATCAAAGCAGAAAATCTGGGGGAGGAGGGGTGGGGAATGAAGTTCATTCTAATTTCTCATAAACTTGGTGTAGTTAGCACTCCAAACCCCAAACGCACGGCGGAACTGCCAGCTGCAACTCCTGGGGTCCTGCTTGGGCCAGAGCATCCCACACATATGAATTTCCTCTAATAACAAATAAAATTCATTGTTACTGGGCTTGAGGTCACCACTGTTTCCTCCAGCCACTCACACTGCACTTTTGCATCTTCCTTTGATTTCTCCTAACAGTGTCTGCCCTAAGGTCTTTACCACTTGTTAAAAATTGTTAGGGTGCATTGAGCCTTGTCAAAAATGAGAATGTTGTGAAATTATGAGCTAAAAAATAAAGCAAAGTGGAATAAATTGGAAAAGATAACTTATTTAAAGCAGGTATTGTCTTTAGTAACACTGTGAACTCTTTAAAACATTCCAAAAATGACTTTGATTTTAAAGGCGGATTTAGGAAAAACGAAGTGCTACTGATTTGACTGATTAAGATTCAATCTTTCCAAGTTTTTTTTTTTTTTTTTTTTTTTTTCCACAAAAAAAGATAATTTTGAAAACTTCATCAGTAATGCACTGGAAGGAGATATATATATATATATATATATATATGGATGTTTCCAATTGGTATATTAAAATGCCTGCTTTAATCAGAAAAGTAAAATGGAAAGGCATGAATAAAGTCTACTTAATCTTTTATAGTCATGCTGAACTTTCTTGAGAAATAACATTTATAGTTGCACTATCTTCCCATTTTTCTCTTGATTTTGGAACTGTTGTGCCAACGTAATATTTCTGCAATGATGAAAGATATATTTGTCCATCATATAAGTGTTTTAGCATAAGTATCAGTGATATTTATATTACAAATGTTAACTCTTAACTTTAAATTACCCAAACGAATATACAATAGAATCTTTACAGTTTGACTAACTATAATATTTCAAATGATTTAAAGAGCCAAGTAAGCTCTTTAAATTTATTTATTTATTTATTTATTAAATCATTTATTCAGATGCTACCTATCCCGTGAATTTAATATTCCTTCCCTTTGTTTAAACCATCAGCAATAGCTTTCTTAAAAATGGTTTATTATTGGCCACAGTAAAAGAGTTAAAATTTCATTAAGTTTAGTTATGTAGGCTTATAATTCATGGCTCTGTCACCTAGAAATTTTAAAAGACTTTGAGCTTTTACCAACCCAACTTCACAGTTCCAAAATCCCAGGATTTATAGGAAAGCCTTCAAAACTAACTGTCAATTCTGATTTGCTAAGCATTTAAGAACACAAATATTAAATCAGGATTCATTTTCATTTAACATTTCACATGGATGTAAAATTCTCATTTTGCCCTAACAACAGAATTAAAAAACTAAGACATCTTTCAATAAGTTCTTAACACTCACTGGACAATTTCTACTGCAAGTCTTCTCAACTAATGGGACAAAGAGGATGTGGGGACCTTCCCGTAGTCCAGGCTAGGACCCGCCGGACTCCTTCACCTGGGACAAAATTAAGCAGATCTCTCTTTCCACTGAAGCCCAGCATATAGTGTCCACGGGCTCCAGATCTAGAGCTGCTGACCAGGCACAGTTCTCTGCCACAAATAACACGCACAGAGGCAAATAGGAAATTTCACCCAGAAATTGTGCTCAAACATTACAAAACTGCAACACATGGGAGAGCAGAGAAAGAGCTGCAAAATAAGGGAAGGGTTTTTTATTTTGGTGAAAATTTCACTAGCAAATTATATAATATTCCAGGAAATGCCAAATCAATGATTCCAAAACTCAGTTTGTTCCAGTTGATGGTATTTTATATTTGAGTCTATTTTTTCTTCACAGAGTAACACTTCTTTCTCAATTCGGTAGTTTCTAAGGTTGAAAAAACTATATACAAATGTATCTGTACCAAGACATGTAAGTGGTGACACAGATACACATTTAACACGCTCACAAAAACACTACTCACGCGTATACACATTCACTGAAATAGCTGGTCTTAAACACAGTCAATTAGTACCTTTACTAAGTTAGAAAAAAATGCACTGTAAATTTGTTTGGTAGCAATATTACAATTGGCTCAATAATAGATAAATCTATAGTTACAGCACTGAAGAATTTGTATCTGACAAGCAGGATGTAAACTACAGTATACCACCAACTTACTGGGACTTAAATGTATATCAAGAAGGAATCAAAGCACCTCCTATACAGGATACCTGCATTTGTTAATGGTGCTTAATGCAGAGATTTAGTACCTAGAAGGCATTTTTGAGTAGAATGATTAATTTAAATTCACTGTTTAAATAAAGGCTAGTGAGACTCTTGCGCTCTAATGCATGTTTATAATTTTATATAATTCGCAAAATGGGTATTTCTGCAGCTCTCTCTTTCCCTGGTGTTGCAGGTCGATAACATTAAAAGAAAAATGATCAAGATTCTGAATGGCAACATAAAGAGCAAAAGCTATACTTTCCAAAGAATAATGACTCGTACTAAATAGCTCAATTGTGCAAATAATATCATGTATAAACCAATACAGTTTCAATATTTATTAAAAATGGGTGTTCTAGACTCATGACTCATGAACACTAAAATCAAAGTAATGAGCTGAAGCAGTAGCAGCAGCGTAAGAACATTTCTCTTCAATGCTCTACCTATTTTTTTTTTGGCTGCCCAGCATAGGGGATTCAAAAATGCTATGTTTATAGCTCTGGTTATTTTGTAGTTTAATTCTTCCAAAAAGAGGTTACAGGATATGAAGAACATAAAAGTTTCTGATGAGACTCACAATGCCATCAACGTCCCCCACTCTGAATGTCAGAGCAAGTCTTCTCTTTTTGTTCCGTTTGTCCCTTTCGGAGCTTTGTTGCTTTCAAAGTTTAAGCAATCTGGAAACACTCTGAAGAGCTTATAGGAAATATAGAATTATAACCTAAGTCTTCTACCATCTAGTTTGCTCTAAGTGGCTGTTTATAAACAACAGAAGACTGGTAGGATATCATTCGAATTTACTGGCTGCTTTTATTAATTGTAAAAGTAGACATTACTGGTATAAACTGAATGCAAAAAATTAAAAGATGGTGATGAAACTGGCTACTGAGAACTAAGGACAGACTTAAAATGCATTAACAAAAAAGGAATAAAAATAGCTGGCAATTTCTTAAGGACAAGGGAATCTTGTTCTTGCCACTTCTTGATAAGTGGCATTTTGATTTTATTCTTTCCAAACTATCCCCAGCTAAAAGAGTAAATTATTTTATTTTATTCTACTCAAATGATAAGCTTTTATTGTATGTTACAGATCATTCATCCAGGACATGCAGCATCTGTGTTTGGCATTGTCTCATTTTTGAAAGGATGGAGTGCGCATAATAGTCTCTTGCCTATGCTGAACTCACACCTGCCTGGCAGAGAACAGCTCTCACTAAGTGTAACTTGAATGCGAACTTGCTTAGGCAATAGCAGTGCCCTTCAAGAGTAAATATTCTAAACGTTAATAATATAACTTGAAATTCTTTATGTAGATGTAAAAGCTTTGGAACTGACGTTGAGAAGAGATAAGAATGTTTTATTTTCACTTAATTTATCTTAAGAAAGCTAATATGGTATTGATACAGGAGCTTGAAAGAAATTATTTAGGCAGATAGTGAGGGTAAAGGAGTCCTCGGCAAGGCTTCCCTTTTAACAAAAAGCAGCTCCCAAACCATTTCTTTTCTAACAAAAAGCAGCCTGAAAAATTGAGCTGCAAACATAAGCGAGCTGGAAGTTTGCACAGGTGAATGCTGGCAGCTGTGCCAATAGCAAAGGGCTTCCTGGGGCCAGGCATGTTCAATATGCTCCATCTTCCCTTTTCTTCGTCACCACATGTACAGTAAAGGAATGGGCAACAAGGCACTGGCCAGGTAGAGAAACATCTGCATAACAAAAGATCAGGGTGGGGGTGGCCAGATTCTTGGGCACTCTGCAAATGACACACCTAGCCCTAACCAGTTTGTTTGTTTGTTTTGTTTTGTTTTGTTTTGTTTTGTTTTGTTTTGTTTTGAGGGAGGGGACGGAGTTTCGCTCTTGTTACCCAGGCTGGAGTGCAATGGCGGGATCTCGGCTCACCGCAACCTCCGCCTCCTGGGTTCAGGCAATTCTCCTGCCTCAGCCTCCTGAGTAGCTGGGATTACAGGCACGCGCCACCATGCCCAGCTAATTTTTTGTATTTTTAGTAGAGACGGGGTTTCACCGTGTTGACCAGGATGGTCTCGATCTCTTGACCTCGTAATCCACCCCCCTCGGCCTCCCAAAGTGCTGGGATTATAAGCTTGAGCCACCGCGCCCGGCCTAACCAGTTTTTCATGTGCTATGCAAATGGTACACCTGCTCAGACCAATCTTTCCTACCCTATGCAAATCAGACACTGCCTCCTCAAGCTCATCTAAAAAGTCTCCTGCACTTCACCGCGGACTAGAAATTTGTTTGGGACCCCTTTTTTTACAGGAAAGAGCTTAAATCTCCGTTCTTAACCTCACTCCTGTGTGTCTGCGTCCTTGATTTCCTTGGAGTGAGACAATGACCCTTGGATATTATGCCAGATGAACAATACTGCTTCAGTATGACTGAGGGGCACCTCTCCCACTTATACCTAAAATCTCACCATTAGTGATTCCCCTCTATGGTTTAACTAAGCCTTTTTCAGGTGTCTGCTAATTAAAATTCAGATCTACCCAGGAGTGACAATTCATTAAAATGCATACATTTTATTAATAATTTGATTAAATCAGCTATATGATAATCAAAGAATAAATTACAGTAACTTCAGTGAGAAAGAGTAGGCAGAGGAGATCTCAGTTCAATTCAAATAATTATTGAGTACCTGCCAGGTTCTATGCAGGATGCTGCACACTGGAGATTCAAAAATGAATAAGCCACAGTCCTACACCTCACAGGAAGGGCTCAAGAGGAGGGAAAGAGATTAATACTAAAGGAGAAAAGATGAAAGAAACTGGAGAGGGCGAACTGCACTTACTACAAAATTTTCTTTCACTAGTACTGGCCCTACCTATATTCGTAGGCTGAAAAGAATATTATCCACTCTTACAATACTGATACTGCTTCAGTTCTTGCTAAAAACTAAAGTTTTAAACTTAAATAATAACTTTGAAATATAAAATGACATCTTAAAAAATCCACAAATTGAACAGTTACACAACATATGGCATTCTATTTTTAGTGGCTTTAATATATTTGATAAAATAGGCCCTAAATATCAAAAGGCAAGTTTTGCCATCTTTGAAAGCTTTGGCAACTTATTAAGAATACAATTTTTAAATGTTCTCAAAACATTAATTTTTTAAAAACACAGACTGATAAGAATATATACAAAATAAGATTTAATAACAATATTATAATAGACTTTTTCTTTGAGTACACACTAAGGGCATCATCCCGTCTTGCTCCATTATACTTTCAAACAAATGACCATTATATAAAAAATAAATTTTAGAATATCTTAAGAATGTTCTGTGATCATTACCTCAAAGTATATGACAGAGGAATTAAATTAAATGATGCATTTTAATTTCTTTATTAAAAATGAATTAATTTTATTAAGAATAAAAAATATGGAACGCCTCATGCATTTGCCTGCCATCCTCGCCCAAGGACCATGCTGATCTCTGTATCATTCCAATTTTAGTGTATGCGCTGCTGAAGCAAACATATGAATTGCAGTTTTGTGATTAATTTCTTTACACAACTGTTTGTTTTTATGACAAAGATATCTTTAGAGAGTTTCTTTTAAGATAAGCAAGTTAATTAAATTCTTTAAGTTCAAAATTCTGTTGAGTTATACTTTATTCAATAATGAAAGGAGTCCTTTCATATTTTACATCAAGTCAATCACTGATTAGTTTAAACATCTACATTCACTAGATCCTTTTAAAAAAAAAAGGCTGATGGCACCGTGAAGGTCAATGTTTTTGATTGGTGATCACATGCCTGGGATAAATATGGACATTGTCATCCAAAACCCTTGCCCAGTAAGCTACAGGTATTTACAGAACAGCTGGGGCACACCACAGGCACTACAGTCAATAAACATTGTGGTGTGAGACAAAGCCAGACTCACAGCCAACTTGGTTATTATGAAATAAGAGTATACCAAAATTCAGGAAGTAATAAAAATAAAACCATAAGAAAACATTTTATTTCCTCTTCTCCTTCATGTGTTTTAACCATTTGGAACAAGAGCTAAATCTTATACATAAAGTTTACCTCTTTCAACTTCTGTCTTCTTAAAGGTAAGGGTCCAGTTGAAAGGAAAAAAAATCCAAAGGAATGAGAGAAAAGAAAATGGGCCTAAATAATCTACAAACTGGAAAACATATCCCTGAACAGAGTGGATTGTAAGAGTGTGATACTAAGGTTCTCAACAGAAGCTCAGGAAAAATCTCAAAATGGTAAATAGAGCCAACCCAGAGTTACCTTCTCCTCTCCCCTTGAGAGGGAAGGGAGAATGCTGGTTTGTCAGGAAAATTCCAGCCCTAACTCTGCACTGACCTTTACCATTCTAATCTTCAGTTCCTTAGCTGTGAAATGCAGAAAATCTCTATCCTTATGTACTCCAACTGAAAACCGTGCAAATAACATTTCTGTGGTGCCTTTTTTTTTTCTTAAGAAAAAGATGAACCAAATACAGATCAAGATTATTGCATGATTCATTTTCAAATCATTTACAAGATTACATGCATACATTCATTTGGCTGGTACAGAAGTTTTCAGGGTTAACTTTAACAGCAAAAAATTAGAGGCTAGCTAACTAGAAAACATTTGCTGTGTTTTCCTGAAATGGTTTTGATAAATTTAGTCAAAACCAGAAACATTTCAAACACTGGCAAAATTTAAGGACATACAGTACACAAAATTTTAAATTCAACTAGCATGCCCTTATGCTGAAAATATCACTAGTTGCCAGAGGAAAGCTGCAAGATTGAGCTTTTTAAGAAGTGATAGAAAAACATCTTTCCTTTTAATTATACAAATTAGTTATTGTCTTTTTCTATTTAGGATCTATTTGCAATTTTTTTCTTGTTGGACAATGACTGTCTTAGCTAGATGTAATTACCCTGTAGTGTATTTCAGCATTTGGTCACCAGATCCATCTAAAAAAAAAGCAAACACAAAAAAACAAAACTCATGGTATGGACATTTTGTCCATAAAATGAGCAACAGATTAAACATTTTTAAAATCTTTTAAAAACTAAAATACAACATCAGAACCATTTTGGGGTTTCTCTTTGTAAAAAATTCTCCAATATATTTCATTTAAAAGTGAGGTATTTACATTAATTTGGATTTAAAACAGCATTTAATGTGATTCTTCATATAATATCATTTCTATATAAATCCTTACAAACAAGGTTACATTAAAATCCCCTCCCACAAAGGACTTAAATTGTTTACTTTTAACTCCTCCCCCACCCCATATACTCCCTAACACCCAAGGAATGTGATAGTCTTACATACCATCAGCAGACAGGCGGGCATGACTTGAAAAGGCTTTATCTATTTCGAGAAAAGCCAAGGTCAACACAGTTTCCAAGTTCTTCTCCTTAGGAAGCAAATCCCTTTGTGGGGAGGGAAAAAAAAGCATCAAACAATCATTTTACAATAGGTTTCTCTCTTCACTGTTAATGCTAGCTAGCAGTCATTCCACACAATGGCCCTCATAATTTTCCTGTTAAATGCTGAAGGTTTACTGGCTAAGAAACACTTATTGAGCATGCAGTAAGTATCAGGCACTGTGATAAGCTTTTAAGGGCACAAAAATCAAAATCCAGATCCTTGTCTTTGAAGAATTAATCCTCACTACCACATCCCTGAGAGGTTAAGAATTCCTTCCTATTATGAGTTCTTTCATGGAATGAGGTATACACAGGAAGTGAAAAAAGGGTCACGTGGGAAGTCAAGAATAGTTACATGGTCATAACTCTATCACATGTTCTCCCTTTTTCAATGTTAGCAGTAATATGACCCTCAAAAATGCACTAATAATAGTTGAAGTAAATAAACTGAAGAGCTCCAGAACATCTGCATTAAATGCATTTTCTCCACACTAATGCCAATCATCCAAAGCTATTTTCAACAAGTCAAGTATTCAAAGCTATTCACACCACTTGAAAGAGTAATTACCATTTATTGAAGCACTTATACTTCCTACACTGATGGGAGTAAATGCTTCTCATAGATGATCTCATGCACATTATGCCACTTCACTTGAAATGATCACAAATTAAGTGCTATAGATTTTGGTTAATGCTTTCCCCAGGGGAGTTGTTAAAACATGCATTTCTGAAATTGTGATATCCACTTAAAACTACTTCTCATTCATTAACTACTTCTCATTCATGAAGCAGCAGCATGCAACCACTTAAGTAACTATGTTCACCCTGGAGGCCTCAGCCAAAGGGTGAAAGTTTAAGTAGGACGCATAGGGGAACTGCAAAGTCAGGAGTGAAAGTCATTGTACATACGTAATACATGTCTCCATGTGGGTATGACAGAAATCAGCTGCTGCAGGTCCACCGTGTCCATCATATACTGCAAAGTACAGGACCTCATCTGTTAGCTGAGCAAAGTCAAACCGATCTTCATTCTCTTTCCGTTTGCCAATCTGTGAGGCACAGCCCACGTTTTCCAAACTGATTTTGGGAATCGGCTTGCCATACTTAATGCTGGGTGGCAGCAGAATTGGCTCATCAATGCGGTTATCCCAGATCCCAAAACTGTCCCAGGTAGCTGGACGCCCACTACCATCTGGGTCAAACCGAGAACACCTAGGCTCTGAAGTGGAGCTGTTGCACGTGGGTGTCACCTGCCTGTCGTCCTGCAGCAAGCGGGAGCTTAGCAACACTCTCCTTCTCAACTGGTTCCCACCACTTCTGACCAAAGTAATTAAGGCAGCTGTTGACATAACTCAGCTCCAAAGGACTCAGTGATGAGGGAAAGGTCAATGGAACAATAATAGAATGTCTTCAAGAAAAATTATGCAAGTCGGGCGGGGGAGGGGGGGAGAGAGAGAGAGAGAGAGAGAGACCATCAGAAATTTTGAATATAACTAGTATGTTATCAAATATTACCAAAAATGAATGTCATAAAGGATTTGACAGAAAATACATATATTTATGTTATATATTGGGTAGACATCCAATAGCCTACTTCTAAGAACAGTGGATCAAAAATGAATTGATTTTCCTACCTCATTCACAGCATTTAAGTTCTATAAAAATTTGACAGTGTGCACATACACAGAACATGTGTCTCTCAAACTTGAACCTGCAATCATTTATTAAAATGCAGATTCTGACTTAGTGGCTATGGGGTGGAGCCATTCTGCATTTCTAACCAACACCCTGGTGATACGGAAGCTGCTGGTCTGCAAGTTGCACTTCAAGTAGCAAGAACACAGAATACAGGTATAATTAAATATACTTCCCTTCATTAACTCTATTGCTTTCAAGAAAAGGTAGGGGTAAATATTAATAATATCAAAGTCTCTTGAGGAAAAAATAACAGGCTAATAAGAATACATAAAATAGCTCTGTTTCCAAAGAATGGCCAAGTTTTCGGGCGTGATGGCTCACTCCTGTAATCCCAACACTTTGGGAGGCCAAGACAGGTGTATTGTCTGAGCTCAGGAGTTCACGGCCAGCCTGGGCAACATGGTGAAACCCCGTCTCTACTAAAAAAAACAAAACAAAAAATTAGCCAGGCTTGGAGGCATGCGCCTATAATCCTAGCTACTCGGGAGGCTGAGGCAAGAGAATTGCTTGAACCCAGCAGGTACAGGTTGCAGTGAGCCAAGATCACACCACTGCACTCCAGTCTGGGCAACAGTGCAAGACTTCATCTTAAAAAAAAAAGAAAAAGAAAAGAAAAAAGAATGGCCAAGTTTTAGCAAACACATAGTCTAGGATTGATCTAAGTTTTTATTTTGAGATTTCTCAACCTACTAAATTTTATATACCATATTACTGTGGGAAATATAAATTGGCATGCAAACACCCCAGAGGCACAAAGATAAGCCAGTTTTAATGATGCTCCCCTTCCTGGTAGACTATCGCTAGGAGAGTGTGTGGGTGTGATCTCAGGAACCCGGCGGCACCGCATTTGTGACAAGCAGCCCTAATTTCTGAACAAGTGATCTATGCATTTACATTTACAACTGCAGCTCTCCGTTCCCAACCCTAGCAATCCACTGACACTTCAGACTACACTTCTTTAAAACTATTACTCTATACCCCACCCCAAAACTCAATCCTCAGTCTTAGCATTACAGGGTGTTACCAGGGGGAATTCCTACCCCACTGTGGGTAGGGCTGTCTCTGGCAATTTTCCATACAAAGAAGAAATTTGTCTCCATAGGATTGTGTTCTATTACTTCATTAATTTAAAATCAACTTGAAAAGATGGCATAATACTAAGGTTTGATAATGTTGGTGGATGGTCTACTGGTATTATATTATTCTCAATTGTATGTTTAAATTATTTCACAATAAAAATGAGCTTGAGAAAATGTATCTTCCCAAAAGGTATAAACATATACCAATGAAATCCAGCTTGAGTGCAGCTATGAGAAAATGCACTACAGGTTTCAAATAATTACTTCAAGTGAATTTTTGGAAATCAGTCTAGCTATGCATAGGGAAGGCCTCTTTCGATGAGTAAAACAGGCAAAAGAAAGAATGAGGTTCCAAAGAACATCCTTAGATGTTTGTTTTTCTCTCTTGTAGAGATAGGTTCTTGCTTTGTTGCCCAGACTGGTCTCAAACTCCTGGCTTCAAGTGATCCACCCATCTTAGCCTCCCAAAGTACTGGGATTACAGGAATGTGCGCAGAGCTGGCTTCAATCTTTAGATACTTAAGCAATAAAAAATACATGAGCTCTGCCGTCACAGAATTTGGAATAAAGATGACCACCAAAACAATTAATGATCATTAAAGACTCAGGAAGTCATCCCTTCCGGGCTTTTGGCCAAGATCCTGTATGGAAGGCTGAAATTCATTTCTTTATAAGACAACATTGGTGGTGGGTTAGGGAGTGGCAGGGACACAGCATCTCTGGTTATCCAAGAGAAGTAACATGGCCAGACGCATTGGCTCACACCTATAACTCCAGCACTTTGAGAGGCCAAGTTAGGCAAATCACTTGAGGCCAGCAGTGGAGACCAGCCAAGGGCAACCTTGTGAAACCCCATCTCCACTAAAAATACAAAAATTAGCCAGGTGTGGTGGCGTGTGCCTGTAGTCCCAGCTACTCAGGGGGCTGAGGTGGGAGGACTGCTTGAGCCCAGGAGTTTGACACCACACTGGGCAACATGATGAAACCCCATCTCTACAAAAAGTACAAAAATGAGGCGGGTAGATTGCTTGAGCCTGGGGGGCAGAGGTTGCAGTGAGCCAAGATCACGCCACTGCACTCTAGCCTGGGCAACGGAGCAAGACGCTGTCTATTAAAAGAGAGAGAGAGAAAAAAATAACACACTCTATTGCAAGAGATATTTGTTCCTTTTCTTCTAATTGAGAGTTAGATTTTATTCAGCAACAACTATGAATTCAAGCCAGCAATAGTATGTTAAAAAATTTTAACTCAATTATGTTAACTATAGGTGATGAATTGAGATTTCAAACTAGAATACAATATACCAGGTAATAAAAGTACTAATTATTTGGAGACAGTTCCTAAAGCAGCTTTATATCATATAGAAAAAAAAAAAAAAGAACTTTAAATAAATATATTTATTAGAAAATATTCATATTTGAAGAGTTAACTTGAGATTACCAAAATACTATTCTTTTGACTTTGGTCTGAAAGTATACATGCCATATTCAGCCTTGGACTACTTTGAAGTCATGCACCTACTTTAAACCAGAGTTCTGGAATTACAAATAAATAAATATTAAATGAAGTTTTTCTGCAGCTCTTCTAGTATACTCTTGCCTTTTTTTCTCCTCTCTATCACTTCCCCCAATTGTTTTTTAAATAATAAAGTAGAGCTGCATTCTCACAGAGAACAAATATCCACTGAAAACATTTTTAAGAATGAGCTAAAATGCAAATTGGGCGGTTTCTATAAACTTGCATATTTAAAAATCAATCATCAACCCGACCTCCTTCCTCGTGTATTATGTCTAGAATCCTCTCAGAAAGCAGGGAGTCATAGGAAAACACCTACTCTAAGGCATATTATTGGCAGAAATGAAATATGACCCAGATATATAGCTGGTTTACAAAAACAAGACAAAAAAAGCTAAGTCAGCATCACTTAGGCAAGTAAGAGATGTTATGAAGTGGTTCCATGTCCTTTTCCATCTGCAATGTAACTAAGTCATACCAATCCCCTCCATATTCCCTAAGAAACAATTCAAAGGCAACTGGAGTTCCCAAAGTAAGTAACAACTTTGAATTAAACCTGCACATCAAGAAAAGTTTCCTCCTCCAAACCTTCAAAATCAGGATCTGCCATCATAGACCCCACAGCTCTGCTGATGCTCATGGGAATGATTATACAAGGCAAAGGAAGTAGAATTTGTGATATGACAAACAAAAACCTTAAGGAAAAAAAAAAGCAATCAGTGTTCTCTACAACAAAAAGAGTGTAGAACAAATTAGCAAACAACTAAGAACTGTCTTTGTCAGTTCTCAATTACAAATTGGGATGAGTTCATTATTCTGCAAACTAAGAGACAGAGAAATTTTCCTTTTTAAGAAAGCAGGGGAGATGTAGCTCAATCTTTCAATTCGAAATCACAGCTAGTTTATTTTATAAGCCATTTTAACATTATATTCCATCTTTGGAAGTCAAGTCATCCAAAAGGGAAGCACTGTCTCTGGCAGAAAGGTGCACAGGATTTGAGTTAAACTGTTCTTGAATGTTGAAAGCAGGTCAAAAGGGCAGTTTAAGCACATGCCAAAATTATTCAGGAGTTCTAAAGTTCTGAAACCTGCTTAGATTTTATACCTCTAGAAAAAATATTTTAAGAAAGCATTCCTATCTGCCCTTTATGAAGTGGCACTTAAGTATCTACAACTTCCATAATGAGAACACAGCCATTTTAAATATTCTTAAACCAAATATTTATCAACCTTTTTAGAAAATCAACTAAAGCATCCCAATAAATTCAAATAGTATGGAAATTTCCAGAATGCATTTCAGCTAATTTGGACCCCAATACCTTCTTTATCAATACCCTGCCAGGAGGAAGGGAAAGAAAATTTACGGCTTTAACTGAGGGGAAAAAAGAAAGCAACAATAAAAACTCCAAAGGAACCCCCTTAGGTTTAATGTGAATATGTCTATGTTCAAATGTGTGACCGGATTAAAGTACTGAAATGTGAGCATGAAAAGTACTCAGTATTCTACTCCCATAGATGCCTTTTAAAATGTTAGTAAATACGCATACAAGCCACAGACTATATCCCAAACCTGTAACTTTATAATGCCTTTAAGAAGTTTCCTTCACATTCTATTACATCACCAGCCACTCTCCCCTCTTCTTTCCTCTTCTCTAAGGATTCCAGTCAAGGAAGTTGCCTGTGTGATCAGTAGTAATGACTAAGGTGGCAAGAAAAAATCATTAGCGAGAACTCATTACTCAACGATTATAATTAAGGCATTTTATCAGACAAACAACACACTCACACATGCTGCTCTCATTCCTGCCACGGCTGCCTAACTAGAGTACCACAAACCATGGCTGTTTTTCTTTTTGAGACAGGGTCTCGCTCTGTCGCCCAGGCTGGAGTGCAGTGGTGTGATCTCAGCTCACTGCAGCCTCTACCACCTAGGCTTAAGCGATACTCCCACCTCAGCCTCCAGAGCTGAGTCCACAGGCACATGCCACCACGCCCTGTAATTTTTGTATTTTGTGTAGAGCCAAGGTTTCACTATGTTGCCCAGGGTGGTCTCGAACTCCTGGGCTCAAGCCCGCTTTGGGATCACAGGCGTGAGCCACCGCGCCCGGCCCCACGGCTCTTTTTCCATTGTCATTGTAATCTGTTACTTTAGTAGCTCATTCTGAAACCGAAGGACAATCTCATTCCTCCGCTCTGACGGAAAGAACAGATGAGGCCTTGCTGCACGTTAACAGTGAGAAGCTCAGAAAAGCCAGTAGAGCTTTAGAGACTGCAAATTTCCCGGCTATTTCCACCTGGAGCCTCTTTGTCACTTCCGATGAATTTTCTCATTTACAGAAAGCGGCTGCTGAAAAAGACATCACCAGCTACAAGGCCTTGAGACGACAGTGCTCTCAGCGCAAAGCAAAACCCAAGTCTTCGGATCAAAACCAGTCGGAGCTGCGCATCCTTCCCGATGCCGCGCCTCCTGAAAAGCTCACCTGAGGGCAGTTCTGGATCCTGGGCTCGGCTCGCTGGCCCTGACAGGCGAGTGGCTAGGGTGACCCACGGCGGGAAGCACACACCCCCGCCCTCCCGCGCAGCCTCGCAGATGGCTGGGCTCTCTGGGCACCTTCCGCCGCCAGGTCTCCGCCTCCCAACCTCCCTCTGGGCGTACCGAGCCCGTGGTCGCCACGTTTACCTCGCCCGGGCGTTGACGCGGCGCCCACCCCGCAGCATCCTCGCGTCCAGGGCCTCCAGTCTCGGCCGGCCCACACACCCTACCCCGCCCGCGCCGCGCTTGCCTCCAAGCAGCGACCACATTCAAGGCCGAGAGCAGTTTGGGCTGGAAACCCGCCGCCCCGGGCGCAGGCAGCCAAGCTGCGCCCCACCCCGGCCCGACCAGCTGCTCCTGACCTCCAAAGGGAAGAAAGCGGCGCTCTGAGAACCCAGACACACCGACCGCCAGCCGAGCGCCGACTGGGGGGCGGGGGAACCGAAACCTATGTCTCCCCTTCGCCTTCCCGGGAAGCCTTTCTCCGTTCACTGTCCATTCCGAGGCCGCCCATAAAGAACATAATGCACGGTTAGCAGTAATAAATGAATTGCACTCTCTAGGCTCTTACCTCTGGATGGCTAAGTCCCTGAAAAGTGTTTTAATTAGCTAATGGAGGGAAGGGGAGGGGCTTTCTTGGTCGGTAAATACGAGTGCCTTCTCAGTGGTCTCGGATCTCCGGAGCAAGCAGTCAAAGCGGCCACTGCCTCGCCTGCTGGAAATTCTCGAAAATTTCTCTCCCGCAGTTGACCAGATGGAGAGAGAGAAATCTGTTCCCGCTGACTGACAGCAAATCCAGCCAGTCGGCGCTCGACTAGACGGCTGGTCGGCCGCCCGGGCCCTCGATCTCAGCCAATCACAGGCGCCAACGGGAGCGAGCCTCTCCGCAGCTGGTGTTTGGCTTTGCAGGCTTCCAGCAGCACGCAGCGGAGCGACGTCGCCGTGGGCCAGCTGGGGCTCGCGGCGGCGCCCCGCCCGCTCGAGGTTGGCGCTGCAGCCAAAAAGGGGGCGCGCTTGGGCGGTGGGTGGGGCAGCGAGGCTTGGTACCCCGCCAGCGCGCGGAGCGGGGAGGCGGTTTCGCTTCGGGCAAAGGGACAAGTGGTTGTGACAGCCAGGAAACCGAGAACGGAATGCCAACACTACTTGGCTTAGAGCTTGAAAGGCATCTGATTTCACTGCCATCTCTTTGAAAAGCAGCGCACAGTGCAACGTTCTTGGCTGAACAGGTATCTTGCGATCCTTCGGGAATGTTTATTCATTCATTCAACAAGTATTTCTGTGTTTATTGAAGGACCTCTTGTATGTCAGGCATTTGCTAGACAATGGGGATACACCCCTAACACACACAGACATGATAGCTGCCCTAGTAGAAGTTGCAGTCTAACGAAGAAGAGGGAGAAAACCAGCAAGTAAATAAGCACATACAATAGTAACTAATCGTGTCAAGAAAAGAAACAGATATGGTGTGGTCACTGGGGGATGACTTCAGATACGGTTGTTATATGAGAACCTTGTAAGATGGCATTTAAGTTGAATTAGTCATTCAGCCATGGAACCAATAAAATGATGAATTGTTCTGGCAGAGGGGACAACAGACAAAGATCTCTAGGTGGGACAGCCTGGCGTTTTGGAAGAACAGAAAGTAAGTCAAAGTGGCTCTAGCATATTGAGAGAGGAGAGGAACAGTTAGGGAGATGAGGCAGACGGTGCCTGGTGATGGCATTATGTTTTAAATTTAATGGGGTTCTACTGAGGCATTCGAAAAAAAAAAGAAGTGAAAGGATCTGGGTTTAGACTTTACATCACTTTGGTTAATGTGCAGAGAACAGTTAATATAAGCTATTGGGAAACTGATTAGGCAATTATGACAGATGAAATTTAAGGTGGAAGATGACTTGGATTAAACTATGGCAATATAACTGAAGGGAGGGAAAAGTAGAGAGTTTAAAGATAAATAATTAACTTGATTTGACATTTTAGTTATTCTAGGCCAGGGACAACTATTCTGAATCCAGTGCATTTAATAAGCTGGTTAGAGAGGACTCTCACATTGATGGCTCACAAATTATAGTAATAACCTTGAGTAATATTATGTTGAGTTGATGTCGTTTACAGATTTCCTGGATTGTTTCCTTTTATTTATTTATTTAGTTTTGAGACAGAATTTCACTCCTGCCCAGGCTGGAGTGCAGTGGCGCTATCTCAGCTCCATGAAACCTCCGCTTCCCAGGCTCAAGTGATCCTCCCACCTCAGCCTCCCAAGTAGCTGGGACTACAGGCATGTGCAACCATGCACAACTAATGTTTATATTTTTTGTAGAGACAGGGTTTCTCAATGTTGCCCAGGCTGGTCTTGAACTCCTGAGCTCAAGCAATCTACCCACCTCAGCCTCCCAAAGTGCTGGGATTGCAGGAATGAGCCACTGTACCTGGCCTGGAATTTTTTTAAAAAACGTATTGAAATATACATCTTAAAAAGTGCACATATCCTAAATGTAGACAGCTCAATGAATTTTCACAATCTGAAGACACCTTTGTATCCAGCACCCATATCAAAGAACAAAACATTATTAACACCTGGGAACCCCATCAACCTGCCTTTCAGTCACTGCCTCCTTCCTGGGGGAGTTTCTATATTGACTTTCAATAGCATAGGTAGTTTTTCCTGTCTTTATACTTGATATATATAAAGCCATAAAGTATGTGCTCTTTCATTTTTGGCTGCTTGGACTCAGCATTATACTTGTGAGATTCTTTCATAATGTTGTATGCAGCTATAGATTATTCATTTTTCTTTTCCATTCTGTGGATACACTGTAATTTATGAATTCATTCTTCTGATAGACATAAGGGCAATTTGTCATTTAGAGCCGTTATAGATAGTACTACTATGAGCATTCCAGTACATATCTCTTGGTGATGACCTTTTATTTTGATGGAGTATTTTGGTAGCTAAGTTACAACTAAGTTTTAAAGAACCTGCTCATCAATAATGTATCATGTGTTGCAATATCTCAAGCATTTGGATCAAAATTTGGTGCAGGTAATGAAGGACTTTGCTTTCACAAATGTGAACATATTTGGCAACAAATAAGAAGAAAGATGTGGGAAATTTTAAGCTTGAAAGTGTAAAGTATTTTGAATTGTCCTGGAGTTTTGACTTTTTTATAAACATTTGCATGCCCAGCATCTGAGAACATCACGACTTTGCCAAATCCTTGTACCAAAATGGACTGGAATCCACAGTCATATGATAAGCAAAGCCAGTTAGGCTGTTCTGAAGAATATCTTTGATACTAAAACAGTCCTTGAAATTGCTTTGAAAATCACACCATTTCACACTCTACCACAGCTCATTAAAATTAAAGCCAGGAGTTTACGTCTTTTGAATTATATGCTTCTAGGTTTTGAATCTCTGAAGCATAGCTAAATACACAAAGAATTCATGGCCGGTACAGCGGCTCATGCCTATAATCCCAGCACTTTGGGAGGCCGAGGCTGCGGATCACTTGAGCCCAGACTTCGAGACCAGCCTGGGCAACATGTCAAAACCTTGTCTCTACAAAAAATACAAAAATGAGCCAGGCATGGTGGCACGTACCTGTGATCCCAGCCACTAGGGAGACTGAGGTGAGATGATCACCTGAGCCTAGGAGGTCCAGGCTGCAGTGAGCCATGATCTCACCACTGCACACCAGCCTGGGTGACAACAAAAAACAATTCACAATTATCTGTATACCAAACCCCCATGACACACAGTTTATCTATATAATAAACCTGTTCATGTACCCCAAAACCTAAAATAAAAGCTTTTAGAAATGCGAATAATATGTAAAGGAAATCATTATTTGATATTTGACCAAACAATTTAAAAATGAAAAAGAATTCACCACAGAGGCTGACTTGGCATGACAGATCACTGTACAATGTACAAAATAATCAAGGGGATATAGCACTCCATACATTCATTAAGTTGAGCTACTTTTTATTTACTTATTTTTTTTTAGAGACAGGATTTCCCTGTGTTGCCCCAGGCTGGAGTGCAAGGATTATTCACAAGTGTTATAATAGTGCACTATACCTTTGAACTACTGGGCCCAAGTGATTCTCCCATGTCAGTGGAATAGCTAGGACTACAGGCATGTACCACTGTGCCCAGCTTAAAGAATTGAACCATCTGCTGAAAACCACTGGCTATCAGAAAATTATTCCCAAAACAAGTCATAGGGCTTTTGATGGGTGGGTGGTATATATAATTGCATAATTATTAATATTCACTAATGAATCAATCATTTGTTGTTAAAAATTAGATATGGATATTTTTATATAGTCAGAATCAGCAATTTTCTAGAAAGGCATCTATGCTACTTTTGGCCTCATGCCTAAACCATGGGCCTGGGATACTAGGATGTATTTTTCCAAAGTTCAGACTGTTCCATCCTGAATTGATAGCCCAGATGTCCCTTCTCTATGTTACCAGGATAATTGCCAAAACACAGACATAGAGAATTTTTAGGCCTGTCCCAGTGGCTCATCCCTGTAATCCCACCACTTTTGGAGGCCAAGGCAGGAAGACAACTTGAGGCCAGGAATTCGAGACCAGCCTGGACAACATAGTGAGCCCCCTGTTCTACAAAAAAAAAAAAAAAAAAAAAAAAAAGATTAGCCAGACATGGTAGTGCATGCCTGTAATCCCACCTACCTGAGAGGCTGAGGTGGGAGGATTACTTGACCCCAGGAGCTTGGGGTTGCAGTGAGCTGTTACCATGTCACTGCACTCCAGTCTGGGCAACAGAGCAAGATCTTGTCTCTTAAAAAAAAAAAAAAAGAGAGAGACAGAGAATTTGAAATCTTGTCCTTGGACGCAATTAAACTTGCAGCAGTGATTTTATTTTAAAATATCATTATTCCTTCCTCCACCCTGTGTAATTTACCCCCACAAGTTTGGAATAAATAAGTTTTAGGCTTATTTATTCCACAGTGACTCAAGCCTGTAATCTCAGCACTTTGGGAGGCCAAAGTGGGTAGATCACCTGAGGTCAGGAGTTCAAGACCAGTCTGGCCAATATGGCAAAATGTCATCTCAACTAAAAATACAAAAATTAGCTGGGCATGGTGGCATGCATCTGTAATCCCAGCTACTCGGGAGGTTGAGGCATGATAATTGCTTGAACCTGGGAGGCGGAGGTTGCAGTGAGCCAAGATCATACCATTGCACTCCACCCTTGGCAAAAGAGCAAGACTCCATCTCAAAAAAAAGAAAAAAAAAGCTTCAACCAGTACCAATGCTACAGAGATTTGAAATGTCTTTCCATTTCCACCTCTGACTATTTGACTATTATTTATTCTACTTGATCTTATTCACATCTTTAATTGCATGTTTCCCATTAGACCTGTTGTGAGAACAATCATATTTTGTAAATGTATTTTGTAAGAAAGGCATACAAAATTGTGTTTTGTTATTTAAATCACAAAAGCTCAAAATCAAGGAAATGAAATATGATAGTCATTATTAGCATTGTTTGCCAGATCTTTACTGCTCTTCATCACCCAAGCCAGTAGTGCCAGGGGAGGGCAAGCACCTGTGACTTGTCTTGGTCAATGAATTGTGAGTGGAGGTGATGGGGTAATTTTTGAGGTTGAGCATTTCATGTCCCTGTGCAAGACCCTCCAAGGCTCACTTGCCTCTGCCATTGCAACCAACAATGTTCCAGAGAATGGCTGCTCCCTGAATGGCTCCAAAGAAGAGAATTCCACTGCCAGCCTATGATAGTCATGGAACGTGAGCAAGAAACAAATCTTTGATGTTGTTTGCTACTGGATCTTAACCCAACTTCACCTATCCTATCTCAACCGATACAACTATTAGCCCTAACTTAAAATTGTTTTTTTGAATTGTTCTTGGGATAATTTTAGCCTAAGGGAAATATTCATACGTTCATTCAATAAATATTCATGAAGATCATACTATCTATCAGGAACTATGTTAGGCTATGGAT